CCGAGCATGGAGAAGCTGGAGAAGCTGATGCAGCGGTACGATCGCAACGCGATGGAGCGAGTGCCATGGCTGGACGTGCTTGCCTTCAGGAGGATCCAGCAGCTCAACAAGGACGTCGGAGACGGGACTTGTCGCCCGACCATCACGGTTGAGATGGAGAGGTGGGACCGGACGGTGATGTACGGGGTCAGGCCCTACACGCAGATACCGAGCGGAGGGAACTCGCTGCTGCCCGATCCTGAGCTCGGGTGCGACAACCCCGTCGAGCACAAGCATCGCAAGCTCGCGCGATCTCTGCACAGGGCTCACCAGGACCGCAACCTGCAGCCTGACGCGGAGGAGAGACGGCAGATAGAAACTCTCCTCAAGGCCCCATGGGACTGGGCAGACCTGACAGGGGTGAAGATGAACGTGGAGCACAAGGAGCTGCTGTGGCGGTACCGGTTTGCTCTGACCAAGGAGAACAAGGCTCTGACCAAGTGCTTGATCTGCGTGGACTGGAATGACGAGGAGGAGGCGGACCAGGCGGTGGATCTACTGCAGGAGTGGCAGAAGCAGGTGACGATCGACATCAACGACGCGCTGCAGATGCTGTCAGCCGCCTTCACGCACCCCAAGGTGAGGGAGGCAGCGGCGAGGAGAGTGGCGATCGCGGACGACCAGGAGCTGCTCGGCTATCTGCTGCAGCTGGTGCAGGCGCTGCGATACGAGGGAGGAGGAAGGGAGGGGGGCGACAGCCTGCTGAACCTGCTCATCGAACGAGCGAGCAACAACCTGGAGATCGCCAACTACCTCCATTGGTACATCTTCTGCCAGCAGCTGGTGGAGGCGGACGGGAAGGAGGCGCGGGGGCGGCAGAAGCACTATGAGCGAGCGCAGAGGAAGCTGATGAACAAGCTTGAGAGCACGGAGAAGGGGAGGTCGATCATCACGGTGCTAGAGCAGCAGCACGACCTTGTTACCTTCCTGACGAAGCTCGCGCAAGAGATCAAGAACATGAGAGACAGCAGGCAGAGGAAGGTAGAACGACTCAAGTCAGCCCTGGCCTCGACCCACTCGATGATCTTCGGGTCTGCCGGAGGGTCAGCGGGAGGAGGAGGAGGAGGAGTACGTCTCAACATGAACCCCAACATCATCGCTGTCGGTCTGCATGCGGAAGACGCTGAGGTGATGGAGACGAGGAGAAGGCTCTGTGTTGTCATGGCGGTCACGAGCTGGTCGTGAGAGTGTGCTGCTGCTCCCTTGCTCTTGTCTTGATGACGCGCAGCTCATGGGCTTGCAGGTCTTCAAGAGCGCGATGATGCCGCTGGGGATCTCGTTCCTGACCAACACGCCGCAACCAGACGTGAAGGCGGCTGATCGCATCCAGTACAAGTATCGCATCATCTTCAAGGACGGCGACGACCTCCGTCAGGACCAGCTGGTGTTGCAGATGCTGAGGCTGATGGACAGGTAGGCGAGAGATGCTGGGATGAGAGGGGTATGAGGGGGGTCGTCAGCGGGGGAGAGGAGGAGGGGGATGAGTTGTTGCTGTCTTGTGCTTGTGACTGGACAGTGTCAGGGAGCTGAAGAACTCCGGACTTGACCTGAAGCTGACGCCTTACCGAGCGCTTGCGACGTCGCCCTCGACAGGTAGAGGAGGGGGAGGAGGAGGACGAAGAGGAAGAGCGAGAAGATGAGGAGAGAGAGAGGGAGGAGGAGGTGGAATGAGGAGGAAGCAAGTGGAGACTGACGGGGAGGTTTTCTGTCAGGGATGGTGGAGCGGGTGGACTCATACCCGCTGTCAAAGATTCTAGCAGAGTACGGGAAGGACATTCGGATGTAAAGGAGGAGGAGGGACGACGGAGAGGGTGAGAGGTGTGGTCAGGTTTCTTCGTCAGCACCATCCCGATCGGTCGGGCCCGTTTGGGATCGCAGCGGAGGTAGGCGATGAAGGAGATGAGGAGGAGATGAATGTGCTGGATGAGGGAACTTGCGATGATGATGAGGGACAAGCTGACGAGACATGTAGAAGACGATGATGGAGGAGGAGGAGGAGGGCGAATAGGATATGGATGAGGAGGACAAGGAGAACGATCAGGAGGAGAAGCGGTTGATGTCGAGGATCAACATGAGGATGGAGGACTCGATGACAACGAGGATGAAGAGGGAGAGGGAGATGGTCATGACAAATGAATAGAAGAGAATGATGATGATGATGATGATGAGGATGATGATGATGATGAGGATGATGATGAGGAGGAGGAGGAGGCTGATGGTGACGTTTTGTTGTTGGTGATTGAAGGGACGATGAGCAATCAAACCCTTCAGCCTCTTGACAAGATGTCATTTGTGCAGGTGATGGACAATTACGTCAAGAGCTCAGCAGGATATTGTGTCGTCACCTACTTGCTGGGAGTAGGTAAACTCGTCACAGATGAGAGTGACACGTCATGGTGGTGGGGGGATTGAACGTTTGCTGATGTCCAGGAGATCGTCACTTGGATAATGTACTTCTGAG